GGAGGGGACAGGGTGCACGGTCCTTGTGGTCGTGCTAGGTTCGGAGAGTGGTTCCATGCACTCAGTGTGGAGCGGACTACGGTCCAGCCACCGCCTTGTGTGCACTTGATTCCCCAACTACAGCGTGCTTGTGTTTGCCTGTGAAGGAGTGTGGGCCGGCTCCGTTGATGAAACGTGGCTCCCATCCACATTCTTCCCGGTCTTATTGCTTGGGGTTTGCACTGGATATGGAGTGTGTGGTTGGAGCTGTGGGTGGTGCAGCGTAAGCCATCCATGGTCCCTCCGTAGGCGCAGGCGTTCTGTGGTTGGTCACAGTGACAGGCAAATTCGAAACCGGATGCCGCCACCCATGTATATATATATATATATATATATATATATATATATATATATATATATATATATATATATATATCGGATGGCAGCATTTTACGCAATTTATGCCACCTTTCGATCGCATGTTCTCTCATGAATTTAGATTGCAATGTTAATTTCATCACTCTGGGAGCACACCCTTTGTCCGTTAGATGATTGCGGTAACCGTGATGTCGAATTAGCGTTAACCTTTCCGAGTAAGAACAAATCACGAATAAAACGCCATTTATCCCAGTCGTGCGCTTTGGCCTCTAGTTCGCTCAATATCTGGAGCTCGGGGACACTTTATATGACTTGACAAGTACTGCAGAATACGCACGAGCCGAAACTCTTCCTGATCTACTACTAAAAGTTATACAGTTCCACAAAACTAGTTGACCATGTTCATTTGCTGAACTACGGCACTATTATCAACATATATTCATTTTCCGTTGTAAAAAAAACTGTACATTATTTTCGGAAACAGCTCACATTTTTATAGGAGCAAGTACTTCGGCAGTTACATGCAGGATTTACTGGGATCAATCGGAGGTGACTGTCAGCAGTTGTGTGTGCGGTTCATTCATGGACAAACAGCTGGAAGACTCAGCCATACGTCGCCAAACTAATACCAAAATTCTAAATTCGCCACAAAAGCAGAGCTCCATTGACGGCCAATACCCACGAAACCGTGAAGTTGTATTCAGGTCAACTACACAGCACCGATCAACGGTTAAAACCACCTCATTATGACCGAATCCAACGGCAAATATATTGAAGTATTTCTTAAGAAGAACAAATACGATGAACGCCATCGTGTAAAGACTGCTACCAATGTTGAGTAGATGGGCAGCACAATGGCACGCAGTTCACTTCATCATATTTATTCACTGTGATTCTACTCAAAACAGAAAGGCCAGGCAGAGATATCTATAGACGCATGCAAGCGGGCTCCCCTCGAATAAAAAGGAAAACGGTGTATAGAGGCGATCCACAGATTTCCATTCCCGTAGCGACCACAACAAACCTAAAGGTAACAAACGGAGCTTTCCCAGCAAAAGCACTGAAGAACAGGTCAATTTCGAACTAAGGGCCTTCATTCCTCTAGACCAAGTTATCGCTTGGCGTCCCCCACTTCTTCCATCCACACCCCTGGCGAGCAAACAACGCACGTCGCGGAAGTCGGTATGCTGGTATGCGTAACACGTGACCCAGCCATCGGAGCCTGGTTCGTGAAATAACTGTGCTAGGCGGTTTACTTCCTCTCCCTGTGCCATAAACAAGGCCCCGAACACGCTCGTTACTCATACGGTGTTCCCAACAGATTTGATCCAAAGTATAAAGGCACCGGTGGTCGGACATAACTAGCATCTTTAGGTTTGCTGATATAATGGGCCAGATTTCAAAACCGCACAGTATGGTTGAACGCACAGCTGCCTTGTACTCTGTACCCTTCTGGAAAGAGTGATGTCGCGCCGATACAATAAGCGGAAACGGTTAACAAAAGCTCCCCGAACTTTTGCTATGTGGTTTGTGATCGCATCTTCAATTCCAACGGCGCTGATACAACTGTCATTTTAATCTTTGAACGATTTCTATCTGATCCCCATCAGGGATCAGCGCAGAGGAAGTCCTTGCTAATATTGGAGAAAAGCTTTGTATTCTGAGGGTGTAAAGCATAGCCCCAAACGGCTGACAGGCAGTGCTAATCTTTCCAGTACCGCTTGGCACGTTTGGGAGTTGTCACAGATTAGGGCAATATCGTCAGCATATTCTAAGTTAAGAAGTCGTTCACCTAATACATATATATATATATATATATATATATATATATATGGATAGCAAGGAGTTTTGCCCTGTGCTTTGCGAGTTCCGTTGTGTTTCCTTCTAGCCGGAATGCGCGGCGGGCAGTAGGTTCCAGAGGCTGCGTAGAGATGCAATGTCCAGATTTACCACAGGAGGATTTGCCTGCTGCTATTAAGGTCTGATGAACATGTGACCAGTGACCTACAACCGTAACTCAGTGAGCGCTTACCTAACCCGAATGTCAACATATTTCGAAACGTATTCAGAACAACAGGCGAAGCCAGTTGTTTGGTGCTTATGTGTTCACAGTATCGTCGTGGGCGTCCGCCGAAACGCACCCGCAGATGAGAACATACAAGTGCATGGTCAGTGTCCACAAGTGTGCTCCAACTCCAGAGATAATTCTGGGCGCAGCCCCTCCAGCGGTAACTGATCGTGATGTGATCGATTTGCATCCATGGCTGGTGAGCGCCATGTCACCTTCAGACGGGTGCTGTGTAGGAAGTTAGCGCTCGCGAGAAATAGACGAGCACCGCACGAATGAAGTAACCGTTCATTGTTAACATTAAGGGAGCCCAGACCATGTTGGCCACCCAGATGCAGCTCATCAGTGGATAATTTTCCAACTTGAACATTCAAATCCGCAACCAGCAGTGCAGTATCTGTGCTTCTTCTGTGATGGAGGAGCTCGTTCAGTTGGCGACAGAAGTCGTCTTTCACCGAAGCAGCACTACAGTTTGACGGCAAGTAGGCAGTGACGACAAACAGGCACCTATTGGCCCCGCAAGACTTAAAAGCTTTGAACGAGACAGTCAGTAGTACGGCACAAATCGGGCTACTGATTGGAGTCCGATCAACCATAGTAGCTTCAGCCTGGGGATTGAGGGAAAAACCCACACCGGTTTGGCCGGCACTCGAAGCTGCATCATCTCCGGATAGACGCAGTGAGAAAACATTGCTAGTGTCGCCTGAGCGGAATCGCATAGTGAGTACATAGCTGGAGTCTTGCAGGTGGGTTTCCAATGAGCAGCAGATATCGATCGAGAGGATCCCTACTGTTAGGGTAAATGCTGTCTGTTGACCGATCTGTAACAATGTGCGTACGTTGAGGTATGCCAATCTGCGGGAAGGTCGAGAGTTCCAAATTGAAGACGATGAACTGAGCTTGTCCGCTTGGTTGGACATAGACATGTCCGCAGGACAGGCGTGAAGCTCCGCCTATCAAAGTGCGGTTGGAGAGCGCCAAGAATTTGGGGGTTAAAAACGGGATAAAATGGAATTAGAACGGAACGATAAGGGTGAAAAAGCGTGAGCATAGGGAACACGAAGGCGGGAAGGCTTAAGGAGCAGTATCCAAACTCGTACTATCCCGCTCGACGCAGCAGATATGGCACCGCTGATTATACTCTGCGACGGCCAGAACATGAAAATGTTCGAAAACTGAGTTATTGTATTATCATGCGTAGGATAAGGTCAGGTTGTTAAGGCCTAGACAGATCGATTAGGATTCTTAATCAAACCTTTCGGTTCAAAAATGTAACCGCAAGGGAGGGCGTTAATCAGTGGGTTGCAAAGAGTTCGTTTTATGGAATAAGGAGCTACCCTTACACTAACATCCAACCTGGAGGACCAGGAGGCTGAGTTGGTCTGGCCTTTAATCATCGGCAAATATGGTATCAGTGATTTTGAAGATGCAAGAAGCACCACCCAGCAGAGCTCAATGGATCGTTGAGGTAGCAAACCAAAGGATTACGGAAAAATACAGTCTCAGTGCGAGGATGTTAACTGCGGTGTGCTCAATGGATCGAAAACCTGCATCTGTCATGAAAATTAGCTGCACCCAACGCTGTGCCAGCAAGAAACGATGAAGCCAGCTGCGCTGCACTTTGATCCAATTCTGGATCATAGCAACTCACCGAAAGCCGACGTAGAGCGTTATAGTTAGCTGAAGGAAAGAGATGACGGTTTATAGCTAATGAAGGGATCTCAACTTATGAAACAGGCCGACAGAATGAGAGCACTGTCTTCGGGACTGCAAATCAATCCGAAGGCGTCATGTTACACGGTAGTCATCATCTCGAGAGGAGTGTCTTGGAGAAAAAAATTCTCAAAGAAAACTAACCAAATCAAGGGGAAAAGGAATTGAGATAATGATGTAGTTTCAACAACATTTAAACTCATCAAGTGACAATGCGCATACCTCTTCATTGGCCAAACGGAAATAAACTGCCGATTCTAGCAACAGACCTAGCAATCCCAAAACTTGAACATTCCTGGGTTGGCATATAAAGGTCCGTTAGTTTTTAAACTAATTACAATAATTTTGATAGCCGGACCTGCAACACGCCTTTATGTCGAGTTGTTGATTTATGATTTTGGCTGTGATAGGCAACATGTAAGGAACGAGGTACGTTAAGCCAGAATCGCATAGGAAGGGGAAGATCTAACAGTTCTTACTAGAAGTATGGTTGAGAAATCGTCTCTCTAAGTACAAATAAGTATTTGTGAACGGAACGCGGTTGTTTGAAGAATAACATGGAAAAAAGAAAAGCAAGAAATTGAGTTCGATTTGGCCAATTTGTCGAAGTAGAGAGGAATTAGATTGCGATATATCATCAGTCGCAAACACAATACATGCATGCTTGAGAACTATCTATATGTTGGCACATCGCAACCTCTTCTCCCTGCTTTGAAAAAACTAGAGACGAAAAACAAAGACAACCTTGCAAGTTACATGAAATCGAAGAGTTAAGTACGGAAGATGCTCTTACTTAAGAAATGGTAACATTTTGAGCAATTAAACAACCTCAACTACCGAGGGCATGAAATAGGCAACTCACCTGTATAATGACCTCTTCTATCTGACCACAATCAATTGTTTTCTCAAGTTTGGAAATGTCAGAAATCTACGAAAAATTACAAAAAATCGCGCAATTTACAGTTGATACTGCCTGTAACCTGGACTGCACAATAGCACTTGTGTGTTTCCTGTAGCCAGAATCTTCAGGCATCAGCGAGAGAACCTTCAGGATTCGATTGTATAAAGCTGTCAAAGTCTGAGAATGAGTTAGGTGAATTCACTGGGTATAAAGCTCACAGCATGAGGATTCTTGGACACGGCCAGACCAGTCAACTGCGTGCTCTATAAGAGCGGTATAAGTAGGATGAAGGGTATTTGCCTGTTTAAAGGCTTGCATCTTTCAGTCCTTTGCGTTAATGGTTGGTTAGAATGACCGTGTACTTCGGATTGAGACGAGACAATGCCCAAGCATCAAAGGAGAGAGAGTAGGTAGCACAGTGTTGCCAAAAGCGGAATTGAAGAGAGCAGCAGTTGATACCTGTCGAATCGGAAAGTGGATGCAATGTGACACTGTTTATGGGTTATAAAGAAGGTAAAAGAAGAGTTAAATGAGTCTCAACAGACATGTTTGACAGAGTACACCATTAGAAGATGCTGTGCAAAAGCATGAAAATCAAGTTAACTATTCAACTATGGCTTCAGCATTAAAATGCAGTAGATCCAGTAATTTAATTCAGGCACCTCAATAAAAGTACACAACAATCAATGAGATAGGAAAACTGAAAGGAAAGAGGAATAAACAAAATGGTTAAAATAATGTGATGTGGATTCTGAGAGTGGGAGTACAAAGAAAATCGCACTAGCGACACCGCTGATAAAGCAATCAGAAACCGATGTGACCGATACCATGAACCCAAAATAAAGTGAGCGACGCGAACAAACCCGAGCCACATGTACGGCATTTCCATTTATAATGCCAACAACTGGTCACCTGTTGGGTTTATAAGAGAGTGCACTAATGAAGAAATGTATACTAAGCAGCACGTAAACAGACACGCAGAGAACATGGCTTAGCAAGTGTGGGTGGTGAATGATCAACAGAGATGCTCGTAAAGTCCAAAAACCACATGCAAAACTCCAAATGGTAGGATTCAGCATTACGAATCCGACGTTCGTACTACTTCCCAGAAATATCTCGTAAGCATCAGTGGTCAAACGCGATAAACCTGATAATTTATTCAGCAAACAGTAGCCAAATCGCTAGCTGATACGGAAAAATCAGTCGACTATAGCGTCTGACTAATGATATATACATATCATATATATAATGATATACACCGATCTCCATGGATAGTCAGAACATTCAAAAGCAGTACGGGCCATACAGGTATGCGATGTGGTCATGACATAAGAGTCGGTAGGATTTTTAGCCGATCGTAAACAACTGCGTTATATACATATGGTTGGCGGCATCCGGTTTCGGACATTGGTTTTTTATGGTCCTTTGCATCAATCTGGCGCGACTGATTTGATCATGTTCCAGGTCACAAAGGTTTATCAATATCAAGAACAAAAGACCGAGGGTGAACAATTGTTTTCGATGATTCATCTTCAGACCTGTACAATCATATGGTTGAAACCGCAATAGGAAAGTACAAGGGGATTAACGATCAGTTCAAATGAGATAGATCACGTGTCGATCAAAGACATGAACCAGTAACAAACAACAAACTAGGTCTGAGGTACCGTTGCACAATTGCAGTTGCTGTCCGAAGGATCCGTTTTGGCTGGCCAAGGTAGCTGAACAGCTTCGATCAGCTTCTTTTGTGCACACAAAAGAGGTTGGTACAACCGAATGCTGATCGCCTCGGCAGTAGCAAGGGTCCGGAGGCGCAGACCTTTCGACTGGAGTGGAGGGACCCTGTACAGTATTCGAAAGGCACTGACTGGGTCAACCTCATGCCCACTATCAACCAGATGAGCCATAACTGAGCTAGTTATAGCTCCAGTACCACCTCGACGCAACCAACGTGGTAGGTGCTCCTTAATGCGTTTCGAAAGTTGCCGCGCCGTTCGACCGATGTAAGTAGCGCCACAAGCGCAGTTGAACTGATAAATTACCATAGAAGCGGTCAGCGTCGGTAACTTGTCTTTGTTGTAAATACGGATGAGTGGCTCCGTGGAAAAGGTACACCTAAGTTTGGCTGCTGGAAAAGTTGACTTGACAGCTGTTGAAAGGCTTCTAGTTACACGCTCAGCAGCGGCGTCTCCCTTGAAGGGTAGTCGTATGAAAAGTTCTTTTTTCTCTGCTGTCTGAACCTGTAACTGGTCGGGCTTACTTTGCATGTTCCTCAAAATGAAACGATCAGGATATCCGTTTTCGCGCAGCAAATTCTGAATGAGCGTCAACTCATTATCCAACTTGTCTTCAGAACAGATCCTGTGGGCCCTTGTGGTTAGACAGCGAATTAGGTTTCGCTTATATCTCAACGGAACGAAACTGTGAAAGTTCGTATACTGGCCACTCCAGGTTTTCTTCCTGTAGACTTGCCGTTGGATCGAGCCGTCTGCCCTTCTAGTTAACAGCACATCAAGAAACGGCAACTGATCGTTCAATTCCTTTTCATAGGTGAACTGCAATGATCCTTGGGCCCGATTAAAGCGGTCAATAACAGCGTCAAGATCAACAGACTGGTCGGCCACGACAAATATGTCGTCCATATAGCGGTGGTAACATTCAAAGGCCGTGATCTCCTCATGTAACTTGGTATTCTCAATATCTTCCAGATCGTGTTGATTTATAGTTGAGCTGGCCCGTTATAAGCGACTACCTTATTTAAACATTTTATCTGGTCTATAACTCCAGTGCTAAGTAGACTGAGGAATCTCCCCATAGTCTCTGTACACGTTTCTCCCATTACGTCTCCAGGTTGAGCCGGGCTTGTACAAGTCACCTTAAGCCCGGAGACTGATTACAAAATGTTATAGGTCATTTTCCTGCACGTTAAATCATGTTGCAGCTTCTCTATTTGACTGCGCACGGAAGAAAATGTCTGCCACCTTAACGGAGCATGGTAAAGTCGTGTCAGCGGCAATTTTGCACGTTTTATTTACACTTCGGTAAATAGATTTTACACCCATTACAACATACCGAGACGAAGATCCCGCATCCAGCCTCAAAGAAGAAGAATAGTAGAGAAGAGGGATGAAAAGGTTGAAGTCAAAGAGGAAAAAGGCATTGGTTCATTGGTTTGCAGAGAATATAAAGGAAACCCTTTGTCGACCCCATCACTTCTAATAATCGTTTGAAACCCACTGTTTGTGCACTGATGACTAGCTCAGGTAAATTGATCGTCATTCACCACACGAGTTAACAAAGTGACATCAGAGCGAACCCGAAACCTCCATGGTTTAAACAACTTCATACCGTGGTCTCGTGTCGAACTATCCGCAAAAAGACGAAAGAACTCTTGTATCTCATCCCCATCTCAACTCGGAGAATACGTCGGGTGTAAATCAAGTCACTACGGCGACAACGATACCCCAGGGAAAACAAGTTCTTCCTTTGAAGGTGATGAGAATAAGACAGATTCCGGAGTGTTATGACGGAGTTCGATCCCTGCCGCTGAACCTTCTCTATCAGTACGCCTTCGCCTTTCGTGAGGATAGGATGCTGGCAATCTGTACTCAAGAATGGGACGAGCATGAGAGTTGAAGAGAGGTGGGAATATCTCTGGAGTCATCTGGGAAAAAGACCACCTTATAAAGAACATCCTATTACCAGCGGTAACCGACTTCAGAGCGTCTTGAATCGTAGGTTTGGGGAGACAAGAACTCCAGGATCCTTCTCCAAGGTTACGTTCCTGAGCAGGAAGCCCAAATTATGATAAACACCAAAGGAGTCCGGGGACCAATTGGGAGGACAGAACATTTAGCATGGTTAGTCATCATCATCAACAGCAGTACATCAGCCATTTGAACTGATGCTTCGCTGCCATACAACCATGAGGACGTATGGAATAAAGAATAAGAGGGAGAGAAGAGGGACTTACCTGAAAATCTTAATGCCCTGAGCAAACATTCAGGGTCAAGGCGCCTACACCTTGTGTAGACAACATTCCGTCACAAACAGCTGGCTATCGTGCAAAGATAAGGCGGCATCGGCGAGACAGCTTCCTTGCGGCTTTCACTGCCACGCGTCATAATCAGCCATTACCCCGCAGATAACTCAGCACCAAACACACTTTAAACAGACAATCCGATTAGGAGACGGCAGCAGACGCGCCACTGGTGTCTACTGCGAGCCATGTCCTCTAAAGTCTCGAGCCAAGCATTAGGTGAGTCACGTGGACTCCAACCCGGAAGGCGAGACTGACCAACGGCACCCAGTTTGGTCGTCAGTGACTTCATTTCCCGCTGCCAAGTCAACTTCTGTCCACCTCGAGCCTTGCGCCATCCTACACCTGGTAGACTGAACAAGGCCCTCCTAGGTAAGTATTGACCAGGCATGCGTAGCACGTGCCCCAGCCAACGCAATTTATTCAGTGCTATCTGTTGTTCTAGCGTGCTAGCATGATTATCACCACCTAGTACTCGACTACGCACATCATCGTTGCGGACACGCTGGTGCCATCCGACACCAGCAATGCTTCGCAAACAACGATGATCAAAGACTTGAAGGCGCCTCAGATCTTCAGACCGAAGGGGCCAAGTCTCCCTACCATACAGCAGAACGGCCCTCACTGTGGCCTTGTATACACGGCCTTTCAGACGGAGGGAAACTCCCTTCTGTCGCCAAAGATGACGCAGGTTCAAGAAGGCAGCTCTGGCCTTTCCAATGCGTGAGCTCACGTCAGTTTCTATGCGCCCATCATTGCTGATGCAGCTGCCAAGATAAGTGAATTGATCAACCACCTCGAGTTCCTCGTTAACAAGCGTCAAGGGGTCATCAAGTCGCTGGTGGTCCTGCAGCAACAATCTGCACTTTGAAGGTGCGAAGTGCATACCAAATAATGGGACCACTCTGAACAGGCTATTCAGGGTTGATTGTGCCGCCACAACATTGTCGAAAAGCAAGACGATATCGTCCGCATAATCAAGATCAACTAACCTTTCACCAGGCAGCACTTTAACGCCTACATCGTGAGATTCCACAAGGGAACACTCCATGATAGAATCCACGACGAAATTGAACAAAAACGGGGAAATCGGACATCCCTGACGAACGCCACTTGTAGTTGGAAAGCTATCCGATAAGACACCATAGACCCTGACGCGGCCTGTAGTGTTCGAGTATAGAGCACGAAGGATGTTCACATATTTCGTGGGAACACCTTTCCACGCAAGTATTTCGTACAGAATCGATCGATCGACTGAATCGAACGCACTCGTGAAATCGAGGAACACAGCTATTGTCGGTCTGCGGTATGCGTGGCGCTGCTCTAGCACCTGCCGCAAAGTAAATATGTGGTCTATACAGCCACGTCCTGGGCGAAAACCGGCCTGCTCTTCCCTAATCCGAGATTCCCGTTCTGCAGTG